CTGTATGCATATCGGGAAGCCGAGAATGTTTCTGAGGGTTCTGGGGTCTGCAGTGGTAATAAAAGTTGTAAAGGGCATTGAGCATGCTTTTGAGCGAGAAAATGCGCTATATAAATGCAATCGTTATTATTAGAATCTATTATTATTATTATAATAATTATTATTATTATTATTATCATCATTATTTAGGAGTATTCCTTCGATCCTGCATGCCATAGTCAACTTCGGTTGAGTATTATACTGTATGGAAGCAGAAAGAATGAGGTTTAAATAAATTCCTTCTCTCAGCAGTCGAATCCACACCGTTTGTGAAGAAAGGTATTGGAGAACCTCCTTATTACGACATAGACACGACAGGGCACGGCGTCTGTGGTTCAGAGGTTAGGTGGCTCGCCGTCATTCGTGTGATCATGCTTGGGAGGGCGGTGTTTTTGTGGAGCTGAACCTTTGTATAATCTTATGGGAGCAGAAAACAGCGGGTTGTGTCCATCGCGATTCGCAAAATTCGTTGTGTGTGTGCGTGTAGGTGTGTCTGTGTGTGCGTGTGTGTATGTGTGTTTGCGTGTGCGCATGTGTGTTTGTTTATGTGTGAGTTTGCCAGTGTGGAATTTGTTATTTCGTTTTTTAATACGTGCTTGGGTTGTGTATCTGAGGATGGTGTACGTGTAATGTAATTGCATTTTTAGCGTGACTGTATCTATGTGTTTGCCTGTGAGTGTGTAGTCTGTGTGTGTGTGTTTGTCGGTTTATATGTTTATCTGCGTGTGTCTTGTGTATGTTTTTATTCGTGTCTGTATAGGGCGTGGGTATCTGAGTGGTGGGGGGGGGATGTCCGTAAACATATTATGTTAAGTTAAGCAGCTATTAAAACGAGACAGCTGAAGCTTCTGTGAATAAGGGCTTACTTGCTTTTGCAATATTAACCTCCTTCATATCATAACTTTATTGGAAAAGGTTATTTAGAACGTTTTATTTTGGAAAATATAACGAGTATCTGTTTGTGTATGAGTGTAATGAAGAACATTTCAAAGTGTGTGTATGGGGGAAAAGGAGGAGGGAGGGGGTGGCGGGTTGGACCGTTTGATAAAGATGGTATTATGACCCCGTCGAGTGAAAAATTCTTCTGGGAGCGTCTCGAAAAGGGAATCTATAGGAAGTGCATTTTGTGTTTACTGTATTAAGATTAAGGCAATCCATCATTGGTGTGACATTATTGTTTTGTGAATTGCGTTTGTGTGTTTTTATTCATGCACGTGTTAAGGTATGTATGCGTTTATGTAATGTATGTGTTTGTGTTTTTTTCCTTTTTGGTGTGTATGTATTTGTGTATGTCTGTGTTTGTGAGTGAATGTATTTGTGTATGTGAACGTTTGTGTATGTCAGCATTTGTTATTGTTTTTGTATGTGCTTGTGTATGTGTGTTTTTGTATTTGTGTGTATTTGTGTTTGTATATGTGCCTCATTTAGTGTGTGTGTTTGTGCATATGTTTGTGCTTGTGCCTGTAAATGTTTAAGTATGTGTTTGTTTGCGTATGTATGTGCATGTCTGTGTGTGTGTGTGTGTGTGTGCATTTGTGGAAGTGGGGGAGGGTGTTTATTGTATGTTTGTGTGTGTTGGGGGGGGGGGGGGGGAGGTAAGGGCTCTATTATTGCCTTTTCTGATGTATTATTATGGCTCATTTTATTATCGTTTTTATTCTTTCTATATTGCAATCTTTTATCTTTTTTTTTTGTGTGTGTGCTTTTGTTGCTCTTTTTTGTGTAGTCATCAGTACCATTTTCTATGGTATCTATGGATTGTAAGAGACAGAGATTGTCGCTTGGCTTTTCTGGTCTGCCTTTTTTTAGTTGCTTATTTGTGTGTGTGTGGGGGGGGGGGTAAGCAGTACTGATTCAATGTAAAATGGAAGCCTTAAGGGTGTGGACGAGATGATGTAAGAGTCGAGACTCCCTGATATCCCCGTGTGATACAGCAGGAAATCCCACGAAGCTTTTATCGACACCGAATCGGAAAAATGAAATTTAATACTTGGGCGTTACAGAGTGCAGAGCTTATCATACATAGTATCATACCAAGGTGGGATTTTTCTCTCCCCCTCTTTTCTTCTACGTATGTTCTGGGAAAGTTCATTCAGCATTTTCTTAAGCCTTCTGCTTTCTCTTCTCCGAGACATCCATCATTTCTGTGTCTGGCGCTGCTGAACGCCGTCGACAAATGAGCCTTAGATAATGGCCAGTTCATTTATTATTTTTAGAGTATTTGTATTATATTAATATGCTTTTTAAATTTATTTTACATTCTAAGCCTGGACGCTGCGTGTTAAAGTTTAATAATGGATAGCGGGCATATTTTTATAAATCAAATTTTGTACCGTACAGATATGTGGCTGCGTCTTTCATTGATAAAGACAAACGTTCCAAATTAAATGGAAATGTGTTAAGCAAATCACCTCCCAAAAAAAAACCCAAAAAAAAACAACCAAGAAAAACATATTTAAAAATTTAAAGTCCCTGCCTTTTTCGATATAATACTTCTCATATTCCACGTTTTATTTATGCTGTTAGTTTTGACAAGAAAAATTTTTTCCTGACTTCACCCAGGTGGTAATTGAATGGATACCCGGATGTAAATGGCAAGCGGTCTTGTCAGTTTGGCAGTACTTGAAAGCTTCTTGCACTGTATATTTCCCGAGAATCCGAGAACGTAGAAGTGTTCTATGGTCTGATGGGGTAATAATAATTGTAAAACACACAGCGCATGCTGTAGAGCATGGATATTATGCGCTATATAAATACAATTAACATTATAATAATATTGCAAAAAGGGAGTTTGTTCGTTTCGTATCATTTCTCTTGGGGGGGGGGAGTCTTAAGGCTAACCCAGACCATCCAGAGAAGCAGTTTTAAACCCTTCCTATTCATCGTTTGCGAAAAGCGTTTCAGACAAAAAGATAATAATGTGTTCGTTTCTCGCCCACCCTATCAAATATCTCGATATGGGGACGAGGGCATTTTGTTCTTTTTATATTATCTCTGTGTTCAACTCAGCAGGGGTTAGTCTTAACAGGCAAGCTCGAAACAACTGCTTCCTTAAATAGTTTTAATTGTGCAAGTAAGAGCGTATAAAATTCCAAATCATTGTTCGCGAAAACTAGCCTTACGAACAGCTTTATACTATGTTCAAACACACCGAGACTGCTAATAAAATTATTTTTACTTCATGGTGATAAAAACCAGGGATTTCAAAAGGCATAATAGTCTTTTATCAGCCTGCCAACAGAACACAATACTTCAATCCCAACGAAAGCTAGTGGTTCACTTGTTTATTGCTGTGATTGTCAGCGCATAATGGCTTTTGATTAATCGTCTTTCTCAAAATCTAAAGATGCGACGTCTTTTGAATTGAGACCAAGTCTTCTTTTACAAACCAGTGTCCCCAACCCACCCTGCCACCCATAAGACACAGAGAGAGAGAGAGAGAGAGAGAGAGAGAAAGAGACGGGGAGGGGTATCACTTTTTTAAGGTAATAATTTTAAGTTTATAGCTGCTTTTGATAGGGAGTTAACCTGATTCAACACCCTTCAGATTTGAAGTTATTATAATAAAGATGTCTATAAGAGACATTTATATATTTTTTGGATCTATTATTCTGTTTGTTCTAAGCAGTATTTGTCAGAAAAAAAGTTTATGGTATATTCTGGGTCTTTTGGGGATCTGAATGTAAAATGGGGGGAAAAAACCAATAAACATTATGAATTATGAAACCCTTTTCATGCTTTACGTACATCGTCCAAAAACTGTTTTGTCTGTAGTTCTTTGTATGCACACAGAACTAATATTGTTCCCTATGTTTACGAGATTCTTAAAGACAAGATTCCCAGACAGATCTAGCTGCAGTTATCCCGATAACTACAGCTCTTGACAACCGTACTTGGTGCAGGAATAAAGATTATTGGCGTAATGTCTCGTTCCTAGGTTGTTGTGGGGAGTTACATATTACGTGTGTACCATGTTCCACAGCAGACATATACATTGATTTGTTGGATACTCCTCCTGCACTTCAATCTTCTCCCTTTTTTGTCTCTCTCTGTCTCTCTGTCTCTCTGTCTCTGTCTCTCTCTCTCTCTCTCTGTCTCTCTCCCCCCCTCTCTCTCTCTCTCTCCTCTC